TTCATGCAGTAAGGTATGCATACTCCCATCCCCCGACCCCGTTTGTGTGATTTTACTGGTATGGTGTTCTTGTTATTAAACTCGGTCTATCTTTTGTTTTTTGGGGGCCTCAAATCATCAATCTGGTTTTGAATTCATTGTGGTTAAAAAAACAGCAGTACCCTTCAAATTCTTGGCTGTGTGCCTGTCCATTTTGGATATTTACATACTCTCTAAAGACTGGTCTTCAAAACCAGGAGGCTAAAGTTTGAATCTTTGTTTTGTAGTGATGCTTATGTTTAGCTTATACTCCCAAAAAAACTTACTTTTTTTTTCGTTTGTCCTAAAATAAAGTTCCCATTCTATTAAAGGAAAGCATTGACTGGACATTATTTTTCTCTTGTCTGCGTACATTTTCACTTTTTTTTCAACTTCTGTTAAACTCAGTGAAAAAAAATGCGAAGTTTAATATGGTTCAAAGGGAGTGTTTCGATATATGTTTCACTTTCACACCTGTTGAGTCTCAAATTAACTAAAGAAATGATGTTCATCCTATTTGCAGAGAGTGTGGACTTGAAGTGCAAGCTGTAGGGATATGGCTTTCAGGGTAGCCACACTAAGGAGCTGCCGGGACAACGGAAAAAACGTGGGACCCACATCCGGCTACCATAACTTTGCTCACGCCATTGCACAACCAATTCCAATGGACAGCATCATCTTTGGCAATCCCATAGCGCCAATAAAGGCCCAGTCTGCAAATCAGGAAAGGATTTAAGGGAACATTGATTCCAAGATATCACTTTCTTCAATGGGTCTATGTAACTAATGGCCGTCCCTAAAAAGAAGCTTCATCCTCTGACAACTTCCTTAACATGACAATTAATTTTGAACACGCTGAAAGTACCATTACATAACCTTTTCAAATTGCTAAAGCAGGTTACTTGTCACAAGAGTTACTCCAAAGCTATTGCCAATGAATCGCAGGTTACTCGTCACAAGAGGGGGGATACGAAATGGACCAAAGGCATTGAAACCTCAACCTCTAATAATCCGCTGCACGTAAGTACTTTCAATATCTCATTGCACCCAAACTTGAATGCCCCCTGCCATAAAAAAGAACGACAATCCCAGTAAAACCCCACGAAAGTAGGTATTGGAGAGGGTGATATGTATCCAAAACTCACCCCTACTTGGAAGTATGCCTATAAACTCTCAAACACATTATGTAATTTAGTAGGGTTTGTGGCAGAGTGAAATTACCACACTTGTTCTGTTGTTAAGTTCATATTAACACTTGCATTTTTCTTAAAGTAAAATTAAAATATCAAAAAAAAATGTACTATATATATTATATTATTTTATTTTAGATTATGAAATAATTTTACCTCTTAGATCTATATAATTTGAAGCTCCAAACAATTGAAATACAATCTAAGACGAATATTTAGGCTCGAGCTTCTCGATGCTGTTATATAACCACTACCTTCATCGCTCACATCCGCCATGTGAAACTTTGAACAAAACAAATCAATCACCCAAGAACTAAAACATAATATATATATATATATAATGTATTTGTAGACTAAAACATTTAATTGTGGAACAGTCTCACTAGGATTCCTTAGACCTTTTTGATGATCTTAGCCAAAAGGTCAAGAAACATAGTAGAAAATTTATTTTTTAGTAGATGAGTTCCACCACGTTAAAATTTAAACACAACACAATAACAAAAAATAATACATATATACTTGGCTGGAGAGTCATTTTGACAATATTCACCTTCGTAAGAGATTTTCCTATTTATTAACCTCTTTCATGTCCTATTTGATGACATGGTTCATGCCGAGTCACTTTATTGGCTGGAGCTTGGCGGTACTTTCAACAAAATGGAAATTTCAACGCCTCCACCGATCAACAAAATGGAAATTTCACCATGTACCGGTATTGGTTTTCCTCTTTTTGTCAGATATCTCCCAAAAAAGAATTGGCTTAATATGAACTGCTGCACTCTACTCAAAACCACACTATTACAAATAGGTGCTTAAGGCCATGTGACATTCAGATTCCACTAAACCGGCTGTATTTACCATGTCAAACGCCACAGACAATGGTTGGCCTTCATTCTTAAAGCATGTTAATGTCATATTCATTCCTTTTGTACTTATTCACAATTTTTAAACATGGGAATAACTTAATGCACCCCGGCAATTGGTTGTTGGGTTAGGTTCTGGGTAGGGATTTTGTTTCTTACTCTGGGGATTGGACCTGATTTGTGGTTTGGTTTTGGGTTAGGTTCTAGGTTGACTTTTAACTTTAGTGTTTGACAATCAAATTTGCGTTAGGTTTGCGGGTACAATCCATTGGATTTTAATTTTTAGGTCAGACTCTAGGTCGTGTTTTGAGTTAAGGCAATTGCTTTTTACCATCTTGTTTTTTGTTGTGGTTCTAAATACTATCAAATTGTATGAGCAGCACGACAGATTTACTTCAACAACAGACAACATAGTATACAACGAAATCCTACAACACAAACGGTAACAAAATGCACATTCACCATTTTAAACAATTTAAGAAACACAAAAAAAACACGAAATACTCCACAACACCATTAACGCTTCCCTATTGCAGGTACTCTTGCTGGACAGGACCGCTGGACGCATACTACCCAATAAATCAGGTACTGAAAACATTAATAATTCCAAAGAAAAAAACCCAAACAAATAAACAATAGAACATAGATATTTGTTATACATCCTTTTTGAGGTTAAGCTTCCTTTGATTGATTAATAGGTTGCTATTTCAATGGATACTTAATTACTGGGTGTTTTGCATCACTAGGCTCTCTGATTCCCATAGATGTAATTATGGTCTCTGATCTTCTTCGCACATTGTTACAGTACTTGAGAGTCACTAAGATCGTTTCTTAATTTCTATAATTGCGCTCTCTCATGGATTTAAACTAAACCAATCATGAACTTGATCATCATAATAGTGAGTTGAACTTTCTTGTTTTACTGGATTGAGTGATTCGCTACGAAAAAAATTAGGTTTGTTACATTTTCCCAAATTTCAAACTTTTTCCCCAATTATTGATGGATACACTGCATTTGATATCTCCCTTGCATGATTGATGGATACACCAAATCAGATATCTCTCTTGCATGGTTGATGGATACACTAAATTTCATATCTTTGATGTGTGTATCAATCTAACCCTCTGTTGTTCGTTCGTAGTCTGCGCATTCTGAGGCTGAGATTAGCTAGGCAAGGTTGATCAAAGAGGTGTGAAAAGTTCATGCAGTAAGGTATGCATACTCCCATCCCCCGACCCCGTTTGTGTGATTTTACTGGTATGGTGTTCTTGTTATTAAACTCGGTCTATCTTTTGTTTTTTGGGGGCCTCAAATCATCAATCTGGTTTTGAATTCATTGTGGTTAAAAAAACAGCAGTACCCTTCAAATTCTTGGCTGTGTGCCTGTCCATTTTGGATATTTACATACTCTCTAAAGACTGGTCTTCAAAACCAGGAGGCTAAAGTTTGAATCTTTGTTTTGTAGTGATGCTTATGTTTAGCTTATACTCCCAAAAAAACTTACTTTTTTTTTCGTTTGTCCTAAAATAAAGTTCCCATTCTATTAAAGGAAAGCATTGACTGGACATTATTTTTCTCTTGTCTGCGTACATTTTCACTTTTTTTTCAACTTCTGTTAAACTCAGTGAAAAAAAATGCGAAGTTTAATATGGTTCAAAGGGAGTGTTTCGATATATGTTTCACTTTCACACCTGTTGA